TTTTTTTAGGAGTGGAGACGCCGCCGATTCTTTCTTTGTTGTTTTAAGTGGACGTCTACGTTCTGTAGAGAAAAAAACTCTTGTTGAAGAGTTTGGGAGAGGTGACATGGTTGGGATGATTGAGGTGGTTTATAACGTAATTTTTTTAATAATATAGATATTATAAACCTTTGAGTAATTCCAATTTCAAGGTGTTGCAACGGGTACCTCGGTCAACCACAGTGTTAGCTGTGCGTCTCTCTCAACTAGCTTGTGTACCAGAAGGACTCCTCAATTACGTTAAAATGAAATTCCCTCAAGTAAGGTACAAAGCGTCACTAGCTGCTTTCGCTACACTGTTTTTTTCTGAATTATGTTTTTTACAGGTTGGATTTCGACTAGTTCATCTTCTTGGTCACTATTATGGTTCTAATAGTAGAAGGACTGTTGCAGTGAACAAAGTTTTTTCTGACAATCTTTCTGGCTCACTTGGGGATCCGAGAAGTCACATAAAGGTGGGAATAATTATTACAGCTAGTTAAAGTCATTAAAGTTCATTTTTATGAACGTAAAATATGGTGTTTACATTAGCACTTCGTATAGTAAATTTGTTTTCAGAACTTACATACGATTGCAGTAATGGCTGCATCAAACGATGTTCCATTAGTATCTTTTGTTTGCGAGCTTTACCACGCACTTAGTGCTAATTTACGAGTTTTGCGTTTGAGTAGCCATAAAGTTGCTGAACGCCTCGGTCCTGAAGTGCTTGAAAAGTATCGTCATTGCTTAGTATAAGTAGACTCTTTCAGTTTATGACTTTGATCTTTAATGAAAGAATGCTACAACTTCATCTTTTTGAACAGGATTTGATTGGGTTTTTATTCCTACTATCATTATTATCTTTATTGTGTGTAACTGCCATCTGTTACTTATAACTTATAATTGGTGATTTTTTTTTTGCTTCAGAAATGCAGGAATTTTAGACAAGTTGACTTTCGCCTAATGCATTGGTTGAACCTGCAGGAAGATATTTTTCCTCTGGTGATTTATGAGTGCGATTATACCGCTACAAATTGGACAGGACGCTGCTTAAGACAGGCTGACGCTATCCTTCTTGTGGCAGATGGTTTACAGAAACCACCGAAACATTCTTTTGTATGTTAGTTGTAGGTATTTGGATAGTCTGCGTATGCAGTAGTGTTTTGAATAAGTAAGTGAAAACCGCAGATTCCTGAAAGGAATTAGTAGGCCTAGAACCCTTTAGTTTTTCTAGTTTTTTCAAATATTTTTTAAAGAGCGTTTATAACGTTGTAATTATGTTTATCATTTTTCATATTTTTTACAATAATTCTGGCTTTAACGGTGAGATCTCTTG